TTGCTTTAAATCTGGAATATTTTATATAAAAGGACATAAAAACAATTATAGTTAAATGAAGGTTGAGATATTATGATAGTAATATATATATAAATATATTTGATTTAAAATGTATGATTTGATATGAATTGTAGGTGATGACTGGGGAAGGGATGTATGGAAGTTTTTGGTAACAATCGACACAATTTCTACAATTTGTAATGGAAGGTGGGTTTGGGGTTTTTTTGGGGGGGTTGTGTCTGTGTTTATTCAAAAATAAAAAATATATTTAAAAATGAAGTAATTACCATCTTTTCCCAAAAATAAGACTTCCCTGGATAATAAGCCCAATTGGGCTTTTGAGTGCATGCGCTAAAATAAGCTCTCCCCGAAAATATTGCAGGTGACCATGCTCGCCGCCTCCTGCACCTCAAAAATAATAAGACTTCCCCAAAAATAAGGCCAAGTGCTTATTTCGGAGGTCAAAAGAAAATAAGACCCTGTCTTATTTTCAAGGAAACACAGTAATTGAATCAAGAGTATTACATTTTATCAAATAATTCGAGTAAATTATGTATTTTTTCCTGCTGCAAAATGATTAAAATGCAGTCCTCTGCCTTTCACATAGAATAAAATCTAATAAAATGTTCAAGGAACAGGTCCCAGCTTATGAAAATTTCTGTGAAATCTCTAATTGACTATTACAGCTGCGTGTATGTAGAAAAAGATAGCCAATCCCTTGTTGATACTATCCAATGGCCTAAAATTGAGATATATGAAAAATAGCTTTTCTTCCTTTACTAGAAAAGTGAAGGACAAGAAATTATTGCAGCTATACAATCTTATAACTATTCAGTTTGAGTCAGCTTAGATTTAATTAATTACTAAATAAAAAGTATTTTTTCCTATTCATGAGGGCAAAATATTTACTAAACATTAAAACTAACATCATAATTAATTAACTGCTAATAATATTTGCTGCCTTTGATAACCTGAGACAGATTTATTTTACACTTTCAAAGAGCATTCTTCAAATCATATGAAATGATGATGATGATCATCATCATGATCATGATAATTAGATGTAGCAAGACTTCTCTTTAAGACTATTTGTTATAGTTGTTTTCATGGGCTAAATGCAGGAAGTCTAGGTTTTAGCATTAATTTTCTGTATTTAAAAATAATTGATGAGAAAAAAATGAGTGGATGAAAGTTTTAAATAGAGGCAGGTCAATTCTCTACAGCATGATTCAGTCTAGTTCAACATGCTGCCCTTTATGGACATTTCAGATGCTTTATGTTCCGAATAATGAAATATTAATGTTAAGAAACAGGAACACAACAAAACACACATTTTTTCCAGACCCACATCTTGCTTCCAAGAGTATGTTATTATACTTTAAGTATATCTTTCTTTATGGATAAGTGATGCTCCGTTGAACTTTACTTGAAATCTTCCAATTTATAGTCTCCTATTTACTCTTTTTTCTACCAGGTCAGAATCAGAATGCACTGAATCTCAAAAAATAACAGACATGCTTTAGGCATATTTACACTGTTAGAAAAAAATATATATGTTCCATTAAATTCCTTATTTAGCATAAAATAGAGAACTAGAAAGCCAGTAAAGAAAGGAAGCATTACCTTGTGGACAAGCTTACATACTTTGCCCCAGATTTCCCATGTTTTTGACTAAGTTTTTGAAAGAAACCAATAATTAAACTTCAGCTAAGATATTTTACATAATTGGGGAAGTCTCCTTATATGCTTCAAGTGGAGACTGCAGTTAAAAGGCTTCAAATCAAAATCTTATTTCCTCCACCCAACCACTGTCCCTCTAAATGCATTTTCTCTTTATTTGCTGAAAATTTCTATTTTCTACAGTGCAAAGTTATTTTATAGCTGGATCATATTAATACATATTAATATTAATTTTTGGCTGTCTTTTACATTCAGATATTTCTCATTTTTTTAAATGGAAAAAAGTGTATAGTTAGATGAACTCCCAATTACCTTTTGCTTTAACTAAACTTCATAAATATGAAATGTGTCATGCTTTTAGGGAAAAAATGTGCATTTTCTTTGGACTTTATTCCCCTTGGTGCAATCGAATATGCCTTATTTAACTACATACTTAAGTTGGATTTATACTAATAGCGGTTATTCTGTCCTCCTTCTGTTCCTTTTAGTTTACGCACATCTTAGATTATTTAGCAATTGATAAGGTTATTTTATAAATATATATTTGACACACAAAGTAAAAAATCTCCCCCCCCCCTCTCTCTAATATACATAATGTAAAATACAATAAAATTAATATGTATATTCATAGTAACAATGTATAAAATGTTGTTTTAAAAATTGACTTCTATTCAAGATATATTTATATACTTTGGTTCTCTGGTATATATCATTCCAAATATAGAAAGTACATTAACTTGTTTGCACAATACATTTAATATGTTTGATTTTTTATCACTTTATCATTAACTTTGTTTTAAATTGCAGTGTTCTTTTCTCCCCTTATTAGTACAAAGATAAATGTTTGTGGAAATTTGAAAAAAAGTATCCATTTCTTTCAAAGATACAGGAGTTTTTTTCCCCAACTTGAATTATTTTATATTTGATAAAATATTACGGTTAATAAAACACTCCAGTTCAAGCCTTCTGCTATGCCGAGATTATTTGTCACCACATGGTCACATATCTTCTACATGTTAATAATATACAATTACACATCTTGACTTTTGGCCAGATAGGTGATGAGGTGGAAGTCCTGTTCCAGTGCCTGGATGTTGAAAGGCTCTGGTTGGGGAGAAACAGGCTTAGATTTAGCCCTAACAAAACTGAATGAATTGGGCAGTGGCAGGTTAAATGACCTGCCATTCACCTAATTTTGGATGGGGTGACACTGCCCCAAATAGAACAGGTATGTAAATTGGGGATCTTTCTGGACTCTAGGGTCCTGTTACATCCTATGTGCCTTGCATCTTTTTATGGATCAGGAGGCCTTTCTTTGTTACTTATATCCTAACCAACTTCCATTTGGCCTAATGAAATAAGGTCTTCAAGAAGATACAAAAGCAGCTGTGAATGCAATTACAGGCATCCATGTAATACAATTACAGATAATTTTTCACCTCAGTGCCGCAAGAGTAGATCACTTGGCAGGGAAGATAATTTGTAAAAGTGCATTTTTTTTAAATAAAAAGAAAGCATTCTGAAAATTAATCAGTAATATGTAAGATACAATGGGGATAATGCACGTGACTCACCAGCGGAGAATAATTTAGTTTAGAAATCACTTGCTCAACCAAAACATTAACAAGACAACATCTCATTAATAGTCCTTTCAAGTAGAACCTCTTTTTACTTGGAGGTGAAAAACCCAGCCAGGCAAGTACATATTATGCTTTCTTCCATTCATATAACCCTTTTTCTGATGTTTTGAAATTTCAATCAGTTTTTCTATAGATACCATCATTCTGCCTACGTAGCAAAACCAAGCAACACCATACAGTAGATTGTTTTTGGTGAGGAGTTGTAATTGATAACAGTAGTGTTCTTTGATTATTTTTTTGCTTGCATATAAGTGCAGCTGCTGGATAAAAAAAACCCTCTGGAACGCAAACTACACATATAATCCACAGCTCTGAGAGCAACCTCAGTTTAAAAAAACTGGCAGCTGTGATTTCACATTGTTACATATATAATAAAAATAAATGAGTCTGATTGGTGCTTTTTTAGGAGGCAACTGGACTTCTTTGTTTTTTCTTTGAAGACATTTTCCTTCTCCTCTAAGAAACTTCTTCAGCTCTGACTGGATGTTGGTGAATAGAATTATTTATAGTCCTTTCAGACAACTGGTCATTTGCAAATTTTAGAGGGTCATTGAGGCCACCTGGCGGTTTATCTGTGTCCTCAAGGTTGCCTGAGTAATGCTAATGGTTCCTGTAGTCTGCAATTTTTCTGGAAATCCATTCATACTCACACACCAATCACCCCAAATTGCATAGCTAAAATTCTGTAGAGATTCTCAATCATCCAGGTCTCGGTTGTCCCAAGGGTGCTTTTTCAGGAGGCAACTGGATTTTCTTGACAATAAGAAACTCCAGTTGCCTCCTAAAAAAGCCCTTTGGAACAACCATGACCTGGATTACTGACAATCTCTACAGAGACTGAGACAGAGTATTTAGTTTTCTTTTCTTTGGTCATATGTTTAAATGTTTCCTTAGCCTTAGGTCTCAACTATCCATTTCGGGCTTATCAATGTAAGCTAAACCAATAGTTGCAGGTGATGACTAGTCCCTGCTGCTTTATTGGCTGAGCTGAAGAAAAAACTGAAAGAAGCAATCACCAACCACAAAACAACAGCATAAGTGCATCTTGCAGGATAATCAGAATGGCTATATTTTGTTTTACTTTTAAAGAAAACTAAAAACAAGGATGGTTGAAGTCAGCACATTCAGAGGGCAAAATATTTCATCTATTTCTTTTTCATGGTAGATGCTGAACTTCAGTTTAATTGTGTTGTGTTATTTCTTGAACTAAGTTTGGCTGCCCTTTCAGATGTCCAAAACAAATATTTCATTAATGGAAGTGTTAATTAAGGATCTCAGTAAGACACACATTAAATAAATGGCAGTATAAATGCAACATCTAAATATGACTCGCTAACTCATTGTCAAACTCATCGCAATGAGTATATTCATTTATAACCTTTTATTTAGTGCCATTTGCTTTTATTGCTTCTTCATTTTTTTTAACAGGATGGCAAGATCTTCTGTCGAAGGACAGCTTGTGATTGCGAAAATCTCAGCGTTGACTTCTTTTGTTGCCCAGAATGTGATACCAGAGTGACCAGTCAATGTTTAGATCAGAATGGCCATAAGCTGTACCGAAGTGGTGACAATTGGACATATAGTTGTCAACAATGCCGCTGTCTGGTATGGAAGTAAAAGGGGAAAAAAAGTTTAAAGAGCCTTAGAGTTTCTAACGATAAACCATATTCTAGCGTTCAGAATGTTCATTATGAACAAGCCTGTTCTTTTTTGACACAACATTGCTATGTACTTTTTCTAATATCTAGCCTATTCAGATAGCTGTTGCCGAGAGATTTAATACAAAAGAGCATGTCTCCTTCAAAATTAAATCTATTGCAGTACAAACATACACATACCAGCTTAAACTAATTATTTATTGAGTTCAACGGAGCATGCTCTTAGGCAAATGAATATAAGGATTGCAGATTTAATCATGTCTCTTAACAGAAAAAAAAAGGACCTTAAGTAATATTCTGAACAATCAAATTTCCATCTGATATAATGCTAAACCAAGTGGTAACAAACCTCAGCAGAATATTTCTTATTTGAATGTCACACAATTCCTTATCCCAATCAAACCAGGACAATTGCAGCTATTTAATACATTCAGAGTCTTATACCAGTTTCTTTGTTCTTGGCTCTTGATTGATCAAGGGCTTGTTTCAAATAACTACTCAGTACTCCTAAGGGATTCCAAGGAGCAGTTTTTGCTGCAGTTTTTGATTCCATACTAGGTCGACAGAGTGAGGATAATGCTGTTCCTAAATGATACAGCATTCTGCAAATGACTTTAAAATGAAAAATATAATTAATGTAAAATTTTGTCACTTATAATAGAAACCAGAATTGCTCATATTGGGACTCCAAATAGAACAAATTCCTCAGATAGTACATTATAATAGCAGGAAGTATAATGTGCACATTTCCTTATTACATGAAGATATTTGATGGTGCACTTTTTCAAAATTGTTTGGAAAGTTCTGAGTTTGAGTAAAACACAGACTACAAAATAACACTTAATCTCTATAATGTAAATTACTGCTTCTTTAAAGAAATGATAATATTCCTTATCCTAAAATCTTAGAATGTTACAGTTGGGATTCAGCCAATTCAGGCCGGTTCAGGCAAACTGGTTGTTAAATTGCTGACTGGCCACACCCCTTCCTGCCCCACCCCATCCAGGAGTCTTCACATGCCCCATTTTGGTTCCCAAGTAAGTGCAGGGAGGCCTACTAGGCCCAAAATGGGGCATGGGGGAAGCGTGGGATGAAGACAGCCGAGTGCTGCATGTCATGCCCACCTTGTCCACACCCACCCAGATTCTACACTATATCATTTGGTTTGCCAAATTATATAATAGGATATGTACTGTGTGTGTGTGTGTGTGTGTGTGTGTGTGTGTGCGCGCGCGTGTGCATGTGCATTGTTAATTATTAGCATTCATCAGACTTTATACTATGCACCAAAGACAAATTCCTTTTGTGTCCAATCACACTTGGCCAATAAAGAATTCTATTATATTATACTCTACTCTAGCACATTTTTAACATACTATACAGACATAACTGAGTTAGAATTTGTTCAGTGATGCAATTAGAAGTATGTATGTATGTATGTATGTATGTATGTATGTATGTATCCAATTTTGTCCTGGTTTAATATAATTGTTGGGTCAAGATTGCAGTCTAAATATTTTTTTGATAATTATTTGATTATAACATTAATATTTTGATTGCAGAAAAAATTGTTTTTGATGTTTTCTGCCTTTCATGTGTGCCAATTTGTGTGTTGATGGATTTATTTTGCTTTTCCTAGGAAGGTGAAGTGGATTGTTGGCCACTTGCGTGTCCAGCCCTGAACTGTGATTACACAACAATGTCAGAAGGAGAATGTTGCCCTCATTGTGTCAGTGACCCTTGTTTGGCTGATAATGGTATATATGACATGCAAAAAACCTGTCTAGATGACTATGGAATAACACGATTAAGTGGCTCAGTATGGACAATGCTTGGATCGCCTTGTACTACCTGCAAATGCAAGGTATTTATATAGTGGTAAAACGTGCATAAAGTGTATATGAGACAGAGTTTTCTTTTTAAAAGAACTTTAATTTCAAAGAGAAATAATGTGGGGGAGTACAATGAGTATACCATAATAAAATCATGCAAAACCTATTTTGTGCTTATTATACTGGGAAGCTGAACCAGAACTATTCAATTGTTCTTTATAACTTTAAATTAGTATTCTTATACTTTGCAGAGTTTTTAGATATGCATACAGGATAGTGACATTTATTATAGGCATGCATTTTAGTCACATATACTGTAACATATGCCTAACTTTTAGGCATAAAAGTAGGTAACATAAACCTAACTTTTAGTGAATCCAAGTTGTGGATGCCATTTATTTATATTAAATTGGCAAATGGAAGAAACCTCTCTTTTTTCTCTAAAAATGGTGAATCATGAAGAACAAAGGTCAGGGAAGATATGGCTTTCAAGTGATATTTCCAAATTAATGAGGAGATGGTGTTGTTGACCCCTCCCCCAATTTTTAAAATTAATCATTAAAAATAAATAGATATTAAGACATTAATGTCAGTAAGTGTACAGAGAAATTGTGAAAATTGTACAATTAGCACTCAGTGTATCATTGATAAATTGTACAATTAGCACTCAGTGTATCATTGATCATTGAGTTAACAAAACAAAAAAAGGATTTTAAAGATCTTCTTAATTCACTGAACTGGTTGCCAATCTTCCTATTTATTTAAAAGTAAATTATCTAATAGGAAAAAAATAAGCCAAGAAAACAGTGAAAACAGTGAAAACATTATTGAGTAAATACTTGATGTCTTACTTGCCCTTCACTGTGCTCCATTCTGTTGACATTAAGGAGTTTCAAAATCCTGGCAATGATAGAAATGTCCACCACAACAATCTAGTTTTATTCAGAATTAGGTGGCAGATGCTATTCATTGTTTATCCAAAGGACTGTGCCCATGTTCATTATAAATCCACAAGACTGGACTCAGCTCTATTTTCTATTTCTGTAGTGGAGGAAAACCCTGCAAAAACAAAGACTAAAAAATACCCATACACTTTTTAATAATGTCTTATATAACTTGTAATCTTTTAAAAGGTTGTAAGGTTTGGCTGTGGCCGCCAGCAAGCTAAATTAATTTTAATAGAAAATCATAGAAGAATGAATGTTTCTGAAAAATATCCATGCGTAATTCTTTAAGATTAAGTACATTTTATCTGACTTCTTGAGCATAAAAATAATGCATCCATCCTGACAGTATGTTAACTGAAACAACATAGCACCTTTATTGTTGCCAATTTGCCATTGAAATAAGAACACAAGAACTGTACTGAATTCATCGAAAGCTAACCCTATGGGAAGACATACAGGAACAGAATAAATTGCATTTCGTTTTTATAATATAATGCTTGTACTTCATATGTCTGATTTCCTTTTAAACCAATCTAAGTGAGTTGCTTTCATTATATCATGGAATAACAAATTCCAGATGTCCATTGAATGTTATGTGAAGAGGGCCTTCCTTTGATCTGTTTTATTTTTTAAAATATTTAGCTATTTCTATCATTATTCTACTGAAAAATAAAATAAAAAAAAGTTCAGGTAATCTCTTGCTTTATACCACCTATACTTTTAGAGTATTTTGCCAGTTCCCCTTATTTCCATTTATCTAAATCAGAGTACCAATATTGTACCATTCCTCATATAGAAGATGGGGCAACACAGAGATACTTTGGTTCCCCTTTTGTATATCTTTTCCAGATTGACATCCTATTATATATGCCCCATTCTTTTTTCTTTGCAGATAGTAACTTATAACTGCAGATAGCAATGTTCTTTGTGTAAGAGGATTTGGTCATATGATTTCTTATATGTGTAGAGAAAGGACACATTTGCAACATTCTTCCTTCATGAATGAATGAAACAAAAATCTTAAGAGAAAAGTGAAAATGCTTGTTTGATCTCTCTTATATTAGAAATAGATTTTCATGTTAAATATTCAGGTTGTTAGTGTCCATATGAGGAGATTTATTTTCTTCACTTGTATTAATAGTATTAATTCCTCCTTTTTATCTTTTTCCTCCCATCCTACATAGAATGGAAATGTCTGTTGCTCGGTGGATTTAGAATGTCTTCGCAATAACTGAAGTATTAAACTGGGACAATCCTTTTTGTGAGGAAAACTGATGCAATTTTCCACTTTCCAAACAAATGCAGTGTAAGTAAGAGGTGGAAGTTTTGTACAACAGACAATGATCAAAGTCTCCGAGGAAGATATTTGAGAGTTGCCTTTGGGACCTATCGCTACACTTGCTAGGCTTCTCTCTACTTTTACAGTAAAATGCATATAAATCAATGGTTGTTAAAAGTTTTGAGTGTTGTAAATTACACCCTTTTTTGTCAAATCATTTGCAAATGCATTAAAATTATTCCATCAGTAAAATGCAGTGTATTGATTTGTTTAATTTTGTAGAAAGATCACAATGGAATTTCCTGTTTTATTTTAGGTTTAGATCAAAGTTCTACAAAATAAGGCTGCCTGTGGTTTTGTCTCCTATTATTGGCTATTTACTTCGGAGGTCCCTGTCAGATGTATTTATGAAAATATGTATGTATGTACAGTCAAATTGCACAGTACTTATATTTCATAGCTGTCAAACATTGTAAAACATTCCAAGGTACATTGAACTTCTACAGGCTGAAAATAATCAAATCCCAGCCTATCTTTATGAAAATAAATAAATAAGGAATAATGTCAAAAGTTTAATGAAGTGGCAAAAAGCACTTTGTTTTGCAGACAAATGAACTAGCAGCAAAATTTCAGAGTGGAAGAAGAAATAGAGCATTATATTGTTTTCATCAGTAGTAATCATGAGCTTCGTGAGAACTCCAGGCCACATTAAGTTCAGCAAAATGGTGTAGTTTACAAATCAAACAATAAATATTGAATGTAGGTGGAATTCATACAAGGTTGTGTAGCATTCAATAAAGCAATCAAAGGGCTTTACATTTACAAGATTGTACGTGAAAAGTGATTTTTTTTTCATATTATTTACACCAATGTACTTGAGTTTATAATCTATCTCCTGATTAGTTGTTTTGGTGTAATAACATCTACCATTCTCCATCACAAACAATGTAATGAACAAGTTATTCATCTGTTTCCATGTTACAAGTTGTAAGAAAGATGTAAATGTCACTGTAGTTAACTATAATTTCAGTAGATCATATTAGGCAGAGTAGTAGCCTCCCGGTTCCAATTTTCTTTCAGTGTAATACATTGACCCCTTGCCTCTATTATTCCTCTTCTGACACTCACCCAAATGTAATGTATTAAGTTACTTGTCTGTAAAATGCTACTTAAAATCATGAGCTTGGGCCAAAATTGTAATTAAACATTTGAACTGTGTGTAAAAGTTAAGCTTGAAGGAGAGGTAACTGCTGTGATTTTGCTAGGCTAAGGCTTTGATATTACTAATACAAGTCCTGTCTCAGCCTAGAACTGAAAGCTGCTGATATTCAACTGGTTTCCATGCACAATTCTCCTCCTTCTGCATAGCATATACCGTACAATGTATGACTGTATGGGAACTGAAAAGTGAAATCTCCTGCACAGCCACAAGAAATGCTGAACCAGATCTTCAAATCTGTAAATGATGCAATATGGCACATCTAAAAAAAAAATAGTAATCACTGGATATAAGTGAAAGGAAGCCAAAGGTTCCACTCTCCACAAAGATTACCTTTGAAATGGAAGCTTGCCTTACATTAGCAAAGGGATGCAGCCATGGCTGAAAGTGACCAGGCAGGCAAGAGGTGGAGGCATTTACTGTAAATGATGCAAATAAGTGGCTAGAACAGAGTCTGGAAAAGGGTTGAAAGCTTCTTCCTCCTGACTCATTGAGGGAACGAAGTCCACAGATGCAGCGTCTCTTTTTCCCCTTATTTTTCTAGAACCTCAGGTTCAACATGCAAAGGCAGAGACTGGCACCCACTTGCAATACATGACCCCTCAGACAGGATGCTTTTGCCTCCTTTCCCTTGAACAGCTGTTAGCATCTGTAGAATTTCATAAAGACATAAGAATATTTTGAAATCTTAAGCATTAATACCTTGTAGGAATTGTTTTCCTCCCGCAACACACACACACACACACACAGACATACACGAAGAGAGAGAGAGATTTTGTTTTTTCCTTCCCTTTCCAGTTGGACATACCCCTTCTTCATTCTGTTCATTTGGTTTGGTTTTTCATGGTTTCTCCTGGAACGAGAGAAGTTTTATGGTGTTTTAACTGTGTCTGGTGTCAGTATCCATGTATAAAAGAGAATAGTTTGTATATGCAAATAAGGGAAGCAATTAATTTTACAAATCAGTGCCTTACTTTTCAGGCAATTAATTTTATTTGGTAGTTACTAATTCATATGAATTTAATTTTTTGTCATCATCCTGACCTTTTTGGGGAATGTGGGGTCTGGCCTTTCTGACACACATTCACACATGCAAACATGTCTTTCTCACAGGTTCCACCACAAAACCACGTTCGACTAAAGGGCGCTCGACAAAATCGCGTAGCTGATGTCATCACAGCACGACAACAGCGCGGAGAAAAAAGCACGCTGTAAACGCTAAACCTAAAATTAACACCTAAACCTAAACCTAACCCCCCTAAACCTAATCCTAAACCTAATCCTAAACCTAACCCTAACCCTAATCCTTAACCTAACCCTAAACCTAACCCTTACCTTAACTTGAATCGGCTTGCTTTCAAAGCGCTATTTAAAGCGCCCTTCTTTCTCCGTGCTCGCTGTTGTCGCCCTGTTGATGACGTCAGCGACGCGGTTTAATCGGGCGCGCTTTAGTCGAGCGCGGTTTTGTCGTGCCATGTTTCTTACATACATCTATGGTTAAGGCTGGAGCAGGCAAATCCTAGGTTTCAGCTGCATATTGGGCAGGGCAAAAAAATCAGGCAAGGCATAAGATCTGTAAATTGTTTTCAATCTTTCCTTCTAGCTAATTTTCCTTGTTTTCAACACACATACTGTATTAAATTCATACCTCTCTGCCTTTTGAGAAAAGTCCTTTGTTGCATCCTGACATACCTATAAAGCAGAAGGAAAGTGGCTTGTTGGCACTATTGCCCCTGTCTTGAGTCGCTGTGTTTTCAAAGCATTTGTGGTCTTTATTCTGCTTTATTATCTTTTATTATCTTTGATAAAACTGGGGAACTATTCAGAACGAGATCCTGCACAGAAGTGCAAAATGTTTGAAACCAAGAAATAAAACCTGACTCATTAAAAAAAAAAACCCGAAAGAGTGGTCAGTATGACAGAGTGGTCTGCTGGGATGGGAGAGAGGAGAGCAGCTTGAAAAAATAAAGATGGCTGCCACAGCTGTGCAATTGCAATCCCACCCACCTTTTAACACTTGTCATGTATATCAATAAAATGAGATAGAAATTTGCACAATCTTTTTTGTATAATTTTTATTAAGTTTTTTAAAAGATAATTTAAAACGAATTCAGAACAATATCAAGAAAAAAGGTAAATAAGAAATGAAAGCAAAAGCTATAAATGCAAAAAAGAGGAAAAAAATAGATAAGAAAAGATGCAAACTTCCGATTTTCTTTACGGCAGCTATAAGTACAATAATTTCCAGTTAAATTTATTTCATACTCTATGGTTACAACTCTCTTGTTTCTATAATTTAATCTCTCTAAACATCAAAACTATATTTCATTGGTCTATTTCTTCTGTTTTCATTCAAAAAATAGTTTCCAATCAGATATTGTGTCTTCTTTGATCAAAGAACTCCCTTCTCCCATCTCAGCAAATTCACCCACCATTACTTCATTGTGGTTATGATTAGTCTTTCTGTATTTCTCTATACAACAATCTCACTCCAGTTACATGTACAAAAAAAATCCATGACTTTTTTCCAGTTGGAACTTTACACAATCTTGTGTGCCATCATTACTTTTTTCGTCTTTACTGAAGATGCTTTCATTTGGATACCGATAAGGAAGAAAGGATAGGCAGCATCTAGCTCCAAATAGGTTTTAAGAATCACTGTGCTAAAAAGATATTACTTAATATTATGAAAGGTCTAGGATTATATGCACACTGTTTAATATACATTAGACATCAACACTTGCCCAGATATAGGTGATAACACTGCAGTGCAACATAAAATACTCTTGATCCAATAGCTTTGATGCACACAGTAGAATTATTCAGTGCATTGTTTACTTCAGTGAATTCAATGAAGTGAATTCCCTTCATACATAAAATGAATGTAAATGTACAATTCCTCACCACTGAAAAAAAGTAAAAACAAAGGCAGCCCAATGTATGTAGGACTCCATCTTTGCTTTTCATTTTTAAACTTTCTTCCCTCTTGACATACACTATGTATTGATTATATTTGCATTGTTTAACAATGGTATTATAAACTGTGTTTTTTAAAATCCTCAAAGGACATTTGTAAACCATGCCATTAAAGCATTTTGTAAATCATATTGTAAAGCCACTGATGATTCAACTGGAGGAAATGAAACCATGCTTTGGGATGTAAAGGGGAGTGATTTAAAACTTGTGGCATCTAAATAAACTCCTGAATACAGATCTCCCTGCCTCCATAGTTTTGTTTCAATCTTAGCATGTTCTGAATTTTGGAAAATTCCAAATCTGGAAACAATAATTTAAAAAGCTCTTTCTTGGATATCTGGCTTGCTTATATCTCAGAATGGTGTAGAGGAAGAATAGACCTGAAAAAAAGGTAAGATACTGGTAAGATTTTCCGATCCTCAACCATTCAACTGCATTTCCCCATGCAGCCTACTTTGGAGTGAATGTAGCATATGTAAATCAAACATTTTTTTTTTAAAAAAAAAAATCCCTGTAGTATAGGGATTAATTAGATTTGGCTTCATGTCTCTACTCAACTACAGAGTTTCTCAGTGACCTTGGGTTCACATTATGGAGTTGCAATAATAACAGTTGTAGGACCCTATTTATTATTGGGCTGTTATTGGGGTTGGGGTTGGACTAGATGACCTATAAAGTCTCTTCCAACTCTGTTAATCTGTTAATCTATTACTCAGTGTGACAACTATTTTTTTTTAAATGCCACTATTAATAATTATTAAAGGAAAATACCACCTCAATCTTTTTTATTAGAACCAAAATAAATAAATGTCAGCATTTGCATAATATTGGATACACATCAGTGAATATTTTTTTAGAAATTTCAGTAATCTAGTATGAACTGAAACATCTTCCAAAATCTTTTCAAAGAGCTTGAGAGACAGCAGAGTATAGTAATTTAATGTTGGGCTAATCTATACCAGTATTTTGTTTTACCTTTAATGTAATCTCTGGTTTATTGTTATGCACTGAATATACTCTTCAATCCATTTTGAAGTTGTAGTCTATTTTGTTCTATTTCTTTTACAACAACTTTGTTGATGATTGAAATGCACACAATATCATAGCAAATCCCTCTTTCCTATCTTCTCTGACTAAAGCAGAGGAACTATGTTCCATGAGCAGAAAAATAATGTTCTTTAAGGCTATTTTTCATTGTGTACCAACATATTTATACATCTGTGAAAAATGTTATGATATTCATATACATATGCAAAGATATGCCCGCAATTACTGGATTTGGGGAGGGACCCCAAGAATAAAATGGGCAAGGGTGGGGAATAAATTGTCCTTATTGAAGTCTACTTTAAAAAAAATGTTTTGCAAAATAATCTCCATTCTGCAGCACTGGTATTGAAGCATAAAGTCACCATATATGTCCACACCCATGTACATTAAATAAACAGACTTCTTACTCCTTTCCCAATTTCAGTATTTAGTTGGCATTTGTTGGAACTGGTTTCCCGACAATTAAAATACTATGTATTGTTATGTGTGGTAATTATAAGTACAGTGGATAGTATTATGCATTCATTAATATACACTCCCAGACCAGAATTGTACTTTAAAAGGATCCAACACAACGGTGCTTTACAAATGAAAAGTTCTAGCATAGATCCTGTGATAGATATTCTCTAAGAATGCATGAAATTAATTCAGCCCACAATTGAATAAGATACAATACAAGATACAAATACCATGTCATGATAATTTGGCACATAGTAGAAACATACCTGAATTTACTCAAATTTACAATTCATGTTTTCAGTGAAATGGGATAATTTGCCCTAGCCAACTCGTCATGGCTAACTCACCATGACCAATTCACTGCAGGACAACTCACCACAATCAACTTGCCATGGGATAAGTCACCACAGGACAATTCATTCAATTTAATTTAATTTAATCATTCAATTTAATTATTTAAAATAATTTTTAAAATAATTTTAATTTTTGTCATTCACATTTCATTTTGTCCCTCCTTTAGCATCCTTTCTGTAATGATTCTATTCCACCGTTTCTTCAATATTAGAGCAACTCTTGTAATGTGGCCACTCGTCCCATGGCCTGTTGGCTAGGGATGAGATGTCTCACGGCAAGTTGGCCATAGCGAGTTGGCAGCAGTGAGTTGGCCATGGTAAGTTGTACTGTACAGGGCAACTCTAAATCCAACTAGAGAAGCAGCTCCTTGTGTACATCAAAATATTCAACCAATTAATTTAGTACGTCCAATGGCTGTACATCTTTTTCTGTCTTAACTATGTATTTGGCAAACATCCCCTGTACAGACCGCCATTAATGTAGAGATGGGCAGCCTGCAGCCTAAGAATATCTCATAGCCCCTGGCAAACCCTACAGTTGATCCATGGAAGTATAGCAGTAACCCAGCCAATTTTCTGAGGTGCAATTTTGTTCAATTTTGAGGGCTTTTATGGGAGTGAATGGGCCCTCTTCCCCCTCTCCATTCCATCAAATTAAATGAAAAATGGGAACAAAATATTCTCCTAGTGCATCACCATAGATTTTTTGGCAGCTTGCCAACTAGCCGGAAAACACCGTACAGCCTCAGATTTAAAAAAAGTTGTCTGTTCCTCCATTATAAATAAATGTGATTAAAGTCAAAATCCAGCATAATAAATATCCTGCTCCTCCTCCTTTCTTCACTATATTTCAAAGTCTCAGACAAGATTCTACTATAGTTACTAGAGCATATGCTAATCTGTTGGCAGGTATTTTTACAACTACAGATAGGTATTTTTGTAAAATGAGGTGAAGAACTTGATATTCAATATTTTTTGAGAGATAGCTCTATTTTTTGAGAGATGTAATACATAAATAAGCAGAAACTTGGAGAAATAATTGCTCAAATGCTTTTTAAAAAACTTTCAAAACTTTCAACATTTGTGTATTAACTTTATGCATGCAACATGTAACTGAATATGCATGATTTTCACCATAAATAAATTGCAACTAATTTTCACGTCCCACCATAACTTCTGATAGTGATATTTCCTACTTAAGTTTGTTAAATGGCATGCATAATGAAAGACATTATAAACTATACTGTGCTAAAAGTAAATTGCAACTTCTATTAGGAAAGCGCAGAATAGCAGGGCTTGTATGCCATCATTAATTAGAAGATCTGAAAATCACACTTCACACAATTTTATA